GAACGGCAGCCCAGCCCCGCCTCCCTCCCAACAGCCCAAAATAAACAGCCCTGACATCTCATGCTCCATAAATGAGATCCCACAAGTTTTAGACGACATGAAGATGGGACGTTCTAAGAATAGCTGTTCAAGGAAAAGTAAATTATTTTTAGCCAGTATAACCTCAACTTATTGTTAGATAAGGCTGGGGGTCGGGGTCGGCTCGGAGAGAGCCTGGGGGGTCCCCTGGGGCTCCAGGTTGGTTTCCTGGGGAGGGGGGCGGGGGTTGCAGCCGGTTCTCTGTGCGGCTTCGATCCGGTGGCCCCGAGTCTTGGCATAAAGCTGCGGGATGATCTCAGTCTAACGATAAGCTGTCGGTGTTAATGGCGCGGGTGCATCTCAAAGCTGTAGCGTTAACCGTTTCTTTGCCTCTCTCCTCTTCTGGTGTTTGTCTGTGCAAAGGTCAGATGTTTCCGTCGGTCGTGAGGAAGAGTGGAGTCGGGACCTGCTAAGTGCTGATCTGCTTGTGCTCCGGACCATGGACTCATTGAGGGCATCCCAGGTGTGAAAATGTCCAGCAGTAACCGGGAGTTAGTGATTGACTTTGTTGCCTACAAGCTCTCGCAGAAGGGATACAGCTGGAGTCAGCTGGAGGAGGAGGATGAGAACAGGACTGACTTTGCAGCGGAGGAGGCCGAGATGGACGGCGTCCTCAACGGGAGCCCCTCCTGGCATCCACCCGCCAGCCACGTAGTGAACGGAGCCGCCGTGCACCGGAGCAGCCTCGAAGTCCATGAAATCGTTCAAGCAGCCGACGTGAGGCAGGCGCTGAGAGAGGCGGGGGATGAGTTTGAGCTGAGGTACCGGCGGGCTTTCAGCGACCTCACTTCCCAGCTCCACATCACCCCCGGCACGGCGTATCAGAGCTTTGAGCAGGTAGTGAACGAACTCTTCCGCGATGGAGTGAACTGGGGTCGCATCGTGGCTTTCTTCTCCTTCGGAGGAGCCTTGTGTGTGGAGAGCGTTGACAAGGAGATGCGGGTATTGGTGGGACGCATTGTATCTTGGATGACCACGTACTTGACCGACCACCTAGATCCCTGGATCCAGGAGAATGGCGGATGGGTAAGAACTCCTCTCACCGATGGGGATGGCTGCCCGTGTCCTCCCTCGCTCCAGGCCGGCAGTGGTGCCGGTCAAACCGGAGCGCAGCTCCCTGCGATGTTTATGCTAGTCCGTGTCCTAGCCTTTGCACCTTGCAAGGAGATAAAGGGGCGTGTGGCCTTTCCCTCTGTGCTCTTAACACTCTGCCCCAAGAGGGTCAGTCCACCGCGATGACACCAACAGTTTATGCTCAGGTGTGTCCTCCTCCATCCCTGTTTCTTCTCCTTCTCCCTGGATGTTGTGTAAAATACCTGTTTTCCAAGAGCCTTTGGAAATCTAATGTCATCCAAGCTTGTTCTTCAAGCGGGAGCCCTTGCTCTCGGGCATGTTCCTGGTGTCATTTAACAGCAGGGAGTGGAGCTTCCTCCTCTCCGAGCGCGCAGTGCTCCGGCGGGCCGGCCTGCGGTCTGCCGGGGTAACAGCTACTTCTTCATTCTGGAGACAGGACTTTGCCTTCTGCCGTGCTCACGGTGAAGCGAATCCCACAGCAGATCTCGGTGGGTGGGCGGGCGGGCGGGCTGCTGGGCCTGTCTGAGCTGGTGCGGTGGGAGACGGGGCTGAGGTGGGGGCAACCTCTGCGCTGGGGAGCTGCTAAACCTGCAGCTGCTTCTTACTTGGCGGGGAGCAATGCTTCCCAGCTGCCCCAGCAGCAAACCCCAGTAGGCTTTCAGTGGTGAGGTATTAACATGAATAAGCATTTCTTCAGGAAGCATTCTTGAGATGCCGGGTCTGGCTGCGCGGTGCTGCCTGAGACTGCCAGCGGGAAGTATACGACCTACAGATGTCTGAGTTTTCTTTTTGCTTCTGCATCTTAGGGATTCCCTGCTGGCGTAACCTTTACTGGTGCCCACTGGAAAGAGCTCACGCTGTCAGGCGTTAGCATCTAAACGGTGGGGAATTGCCTGGCTGGTGAGCTCAGGCCTTTCAGCCCTCCTCACCGCGTAGTCCATCACCAGGCCCCCGCAGCTCGAGGAGAGGGCAGGAACCTCTGAGCCCAGCGCTGTGCTCTGCACCCTCCTGACAGAGGAGAGGCACAGGAGCCCAGCAGAGCTCCCCAGCACCTCGCGCCTGGCCGGCGATGCTGCGGGGAGGGGGGGGGGGGTGGGGTGGGTGCACGCAGGGAGAGGGAGCAGGATCACCCAGGGTGCAGGAATTCCAGGAATGTGGCCGCCCTGGGGCACTGCCTGGGTGGGGCTGCTCAGGCAGAGGAGCTTGGTTTCGATTAATAACCCGGGATCTGCTAGCCATTTCATCAGGCTGTATCTGGCCCATTAGCTCTCTCATCCTGCAGATAACCCTGGCTAGATGCTGAGTTCCTTCCCCCTCCCTCTGGCTTTGGCTTTTAAAGCCACAGATTAGTCTTGGAATTGAGTGATCAAATTGAGGTTTCCAAGCTAGTGTGGCTGTTGCTGTTAGTGACGGATTGGGCTGTATCCTGGAGACCTAGGCGATAATGCAATCTGATTTTTTGTAAATGAACTCTCTGGGGGATTTAGATTAAATCACTGGTGGAAAATCACTGGTCCCTGCTTGCGGGGAATGAAATACCTCCTCCCTCTGTTCTCCACCCCCAACCATCACGGTTAAGACTCTTTAATTTTTTTTTTTTTGTGTCTGTCTGTAAATTCATTGTTTGAAGCAAATATTTGTTCAAAAGATTGCAGAAGCGTCAGGACTCCTCTCTATCTGACCCGCCCACCAGCTCTCGCTTTGAAGATTGCCAAAGTTAGCCGTGTTTCCCACCCAGGGGAGCAGCCTTGCTCTCTTCTTCTAACCTTGAACGGGGCTTCTAACTTCACTGCTCAGGCTGTGCCGCTGCCCGGGCTGTGCCGGTAGCTGAAGGGGAGCTGGACAGGGTGGTAAAGGCCTTAGTGGGGGGGATGCCCCCCCCACCAGCCACCAAAAAAAAAAAAAAAGGGCTGGGCAGCGTGGCTGCTGCCAGCCTGTTGCAAACCCCGACCAGTGCTTGTTTGACATCTCAGCTGTAGTTTTCCTCCATGCTCAGGTTTCACCGTGCCCCTTCTCCGGGGGCAGCCATGCCGCTCCATGCGAAGGGACGGCGCGGTGCAGCGGTAGCACGGGGGCCATAAGAGCTCCCGAGTGCCTCATGCGTGGGGCGTGCGTGGGGATGCTCTGCTTCGCTCTCGCGCAACTCCAGCTGCGGGGAGAAAACTGCTGGCCTGGCGCCAGCTCTCCCTGCGAGAAAAGAGTGCCAGCCTGCCCTTGCTGCGACGGAGCCGTCCCTCTCCTGCCGCCCTGTTTGCACAGGGAGCCTGTTTGGTGCGTCTGAGCTGTTAGAGCCTGTCCCGTGCGAACAAAGCTCTCCCGAGAGGTGCAGCAGGCAGGTCCCGGTGAGAGGGATGCAAGTTCTGGCAGGCCTGCTTGGCAGGGACCAGGTGGTTTGCGTTTTGGAGCGCTGCAGCACTTCTTTTCCTGGAAAGCCCCTCTGAAAGAGGGAAGGAGCGTGGCCCCATCATAAGTGTCTCACAGCCTGGTTGCGTAGGAAGCTCTGTTTCATTCCCCACCAGTGGCACAAAGGCAAGTGCAGGATGGCCGCGGGGTGCAGGTTTGCCTTTGGAGGGTCCTGTTAAGGCTGCTGTGTGCTGGGCTGTAGCAGTCTTCTTGAGAAACCATTTTTTGAGGCGAGGGGGAAATGGCAAATCTCACTACGTAGCATTAACATGGGTGTATTTTGTCATGTTTACTGGCCCTGCCTTGGTTTGCCCTCCTTTCTGCAATCTGGCACTGAGAAAACAAACAAGAACAACCTGAGGGGGGCATTTAATAACCAGCCAGAAGAGAGCTGCTGTCTCGGTGAGCCATCAAAACCAAAGAGGAGGCTTTCCTGAGGCAGTTGCTTTGGCCAGGGCCAGATTCCACTAGCTGTGAAGTTCAAGCAGTGATCCCAGTGGGGACTGGGAGTTGTGGGGGGAGAAATCTGGTGAGTGGGAACGCAGGAGGGGGAAGCGCAGGGTGAGCGGGAGAGAGCCCGGCAGGCAGAGATGTACCGACCATGCGCCTGGCTGTGACCCTCCAGCGGACGACAGCTTTTCTTTCAAGGTTAAATCTGTGTTCAGAGGGTGTTCTGTGGGGCCTTGAAGGTAGATCTGTGGACATAGAGGCAAGAGGTTTCCTGTTTGCAGGGTGCGTGGTGGGGACCAGCATGAAGGGTCTGTGCTGGGCCAGGATTGAAAGCGAGCAGCATCTTTGTCACCAGTCTGTGACATCTGAATCCCAACAAGCTGGGCCAGGCTGAAGGAGGACGGACTGCTTCCCGCGTTGGCTCTGTGCATCCCAGGTTCTCAGCTGGCCCTGGCCGCGCAGGGCTCGGTGTGCCGGGACGTATGTGTTGTGTCGCTCTGCGGTGTACTGGAAGCTTGTGGTTCTGTTTGGGGAAAACCCTTAGAAGATGTCAATATAGCAAACTCATTTTCTACCTTTTTAATTTTTTTCTTGAATGATAGGAAATGACTCAGCCTGCGTCATATGACAGAGCGCAGCTGGGATTTCGTCCTGTGCTCTTGCTCCAGCCTTCTCAATGGTTTCAGGCTGAGGGCTAGCCTTCCATTCTCAACTCTTCCGAAATGCTTTTTGGCCCTGTGCCATTGCCCAGGTACCCTGCACAAGCCCTCCCCGCAGCCACCGCGTTACCTAGCTGATCCTGGGTGCCCCAGGATCCCCACGCTTTGTCGGTCCAAGCTTTTTGGGCAGCATGAGATAAGCGCAAGTCTGAATTCTGCTGTTGTGCCCTGAGATTCGGAGCGGGGC